CAGCCCAGATGCAGTCAAAGATGAATTTTACCACAATCTACACGACCTCTTGCGTAAAGCGAGTCCGGCTGATATCGTGATTTTAGCAGGAGATATGAATGCTAGAGTAGGTCAGCAGGCTTCGAGTGAGGCGCTTATGGGTGGTCCTTTTTGACTAGATTCCTGTTTCTCGGGAAACGGGAAACGGCTGTTGGCTCTTTGTTCCGACCACCGCCTATTCCTCGCCAGTACGAACTTCAGACGCTCCAACTGCCGGTACGCTACTTGGCGTCCGCCCTCCTCGATTCAGAGACGGACGCAGATCGACCACATTGCTATGAGCTACAAATGGCGGGGTTGTATACAAGACTGACGATCGTATTGGAGCACTTCCCTCGAATGTGACCACGCGTCCGTGTGCTTCGGTGGGCGTTCCAAACGCTTGATACATCGACGGTTAGACTGTGATCAGTTGTCTAAACCAGCACGCCTAATTGTCTTTCAGAACGCGCTAGCTGAAAAGCTAGAATCAACCCCCTCAATAACGTTAAGCAGCACAGGTCGCTTATGAAGAATGCTCTGAATGCTGCTGACGTAGTTGTGGTCTGGCACGTCGTGCCGCGACACCCTGGAGTTCTTCGGAATCTCTACGCCTTCTCGACGCACGCCAATCAATCCCGACCGGCAGCGGGCATGATGAAATACGACGAGCAACGAGTCGTAACCTTAACTTAAGCCTACGTAGAGACCGCGAGATCTGGTGGAATAAACGCGCGTCAGAGATGGAATGTGCTGCCGCTATGGGAAATTCCCGTAAGCTGTTCCATCTCATCCGGGTCATCGGTAGGGAAGCCTTCGGTGTGAGCGAAACGATCTGCGAAGCTGACGGTTTGTCCATTCACAACCAACAGCGACGTCTTGCACACTGGGCGGAGCACTTTAAGGCACAGTTTAGCTGACCATCAACGTCAGCTTTTCGCACAGCTATTCCGGCACACGTCCCATGGTCTGTTTCAACAGACCCACCTCAGGCGGAAATCCGTAAGGAAATCCAAGCCTTGGGACGTCACAAAGCGCCGGGCTCCGATGGCCTTTTCCCAGCCCTATTTAAAGGTGGTGGAATAAAGCTTGTGAAAGAACTACAAGTTCTGTTCTCTAAAGTGTGGAACACTGAGCAAGTCTGCTCCTCGTGAAGGGAATCGATTGTTGTCCCCATCTTCAAAAAGGGCCCGCGCAATGACTGCGCCAATCATAGTGGTATAAGCCTAATCCTGATAGCGTCAAAGTTGTTGGCGTCCGTCATTCTCCGCCGATTGTATACTACGTGTGAGGAGCAGGCTGGGTTTCGCGCCAGTCTTGGATGCATCGATCAAATCTTCACCCGCCGACAGCTGCTAGAGCACCGTCATGCCTACCAAAGACCAACGATCATTGTATTCGTAAACATTCGCACGGCCTTCGACTCTGTCAGCAGGACCACACTATGGAACTGTTTGTTGAGGAACGGAGTACCTGAGAAGTAGTTGTCGATCCTCAAAGAGTTGTATCGTCATACCTCAGGTCGGGTTAGGGCCTATGGCCAGCTTTCGCCACTCTTTGCCGTCTCCAGTGGAGTTCGACAAGGCCGCTCTTTATCCCCACTCCCCTTCAACTTCGCCATAGAGGATGTTCTGCAGGACGCTTTGTCCGGTTTAGAAAACGGTGGAGTTGAACTCTTCCCAGGGAACAGAGTCCTTGACTTAGAATATGCCGATGACATCGCCTTGCTTGATGACAACACACAGGTAGTGCAGAACGCTTTGAACCGCTTGGCGATAGAGGTATCCAGGTATGGTATGTGCTTTGCACCATCAAAGTGCAAAGTGCTGGTACAAGACTGGCAGGAGCCTGTGCCTGCACTCACCATCTGTGGTGATCAGCTAGAAGTGGTCGAGAGCTTTAAGTACCTCGGGAGCTTGATCGTAGCCGGTGGTGGTGTTGGGGACGAGATCACATCACGAATAGCGAAAGCTAGAGCAACTTTCGCCAACCTATGACACCTGTGGCGCCGTCATGATATCCGACCGTCGCTTGAGGGAAGGGTGTACATCGCCGCGGTTCGTAGTGTTCTGCTTTACGGTTGCGAGACCTAGCCTCTCCGTGCGGAGGATGCTAATCGACTTTGTGTATTCGACCACCGATGTCTCCGAAGCACTGGTCTTGTGTGGTGAGAACATCGGGGGAGCAATGACAAGGTTCGTCGTCGTGTGTTGGATGCGGGTAGTCGGTCTCTAACAAAATGACTCTTTCTACACCGCCTCCGATGGCTCGGTCATGTTTTACGTATGCCTGCCCATCTTTTACCTCTCCGTGCTCTCTTTGCACGTACCGGGCAAGGCTGGAAGAAGCAACGCGGCGGTCAGACCATGGCGTAGACATGGCCTAGAGATATGAAGAAGCTAGCTCCAGCTTTGGCTTCGGTTGGTGCAGCCCGTCTTCGAGGCTGGGGCCCAAGGGACGATTGCCGATGGTTAGAGACAGTGAGATATATGGCTCCGAATAGATGTCAGTGGCGCGATTACTGTGCAGTTCGTTTGGCGAGACCCTGTTCCCCATAACAGACAAAAAAGTCTTCAAAATGTGTACGGTGAAACAATAAAAAATCATTCATTCATTTGTTCTCACTGTTCTCTGTTTTCCCCATTTTCGTTTACTTTTTCTCTATCACGTCACAGCTTCATTATCATTGTTTTGCATTGGCACCATGCCTTTTCTCAATCCGGTGTGAAATATATGTATATCGATGGGTATGGACGGTCAGCTTATCACTTGGAAGTTTGCGAGTTAAAACAGTACCACAATCGCCCAATTTTACCATTTGTTGTTTGCTGGGTTTCAATAGGTCACGAACCTTTGCTGGATATCAAACGAACGGATATAACATTCTTCTTACTACAAGCCGTTAATACATTTTTGGTAGTTTACCAATTTTAAATTTTGGCTGATCGATTTCAGATACCATGAGACTACTGAAGCCCCTGTGGGTTACTCATGGCTCACTGTCAAAGGACCAGAGTATTGGTAAGTATTATTTATAATGATGTAAGCTAAGATCACCCTGCTTATTAGACCCTTGTACATGGAATCTATTGTCCAAAACAGTTACTTTCTGCACTTATATATATATATATATATATATATATATATCAGAGCGCTTTTTTGAACACACTTATTTTCGGTGATTCATCAACTGGCTAATAATTCACATTCTATATAACAACATTTTGTATAGAAAAGAGGAAAAAACTAATGATTATTCAAATGGGGATTGTTGTTGTGGTCTTCTGTCCCAATTTCACAAAACCGGATATGGTTGATCCTACGATCGGAACTTAAGCTTAGTCCACATTACTTGTGTGATTTGGATTTGGATTGGGAGGAGTAGGAGGAGGACGAGAGGTGCAGGGTCATGGTAGGTTGAGTGACTTCAAAAATTGTTTGGGGGCACACAATGGGGGATTATGTAGACGAATTCGAATCGCCTGTGCGGTGGCTAGGATGCAATTTTTAATCGGCTTTGATCTACGACCGCGAACGCAGTAGAGAGGCCGAAATACTTCAGTCACTCACTGTGTGATCGGACTCGATGAAGTGTGAAACGATAGCACTTGTAGTAGTTTTAACCACACCAGTGTTCAGCCAGCCCGGTGATGTTCCCGAACTTTTGTATCATCATCATCATTCATTGTACAGCGTAATAAAGTGAAGTGAACTTCAATGATCGCTGCCAAACTCATAAAGCATACTAGATAAGTGAGAATGTGTAAGGAGGACAGCGATTGGGCCTATTTTTAGGGACGGGAAAAGAAAGCGAACCTCTATGGTCAACACGCAGAGTACACAACCCAACTGTGCATACATACTAGTTCAAGCATTTTGGACTGATAAGAAGTGACAGCATGCTCGCCATTGCTGTCGGTTCGCAGCCATGACCTTCAGTGTCTCCAACCATGCGGTTTCGGAGTCTTTTGGACCCAAACCCGGAAGACGAGAGACACGTGATCTACCTGATCGCTCTGTGCATTTCTTCATGCCTCGTCTCCACGTCATCTGCTGGCCTCCAGGTGGCTTTCTCCAGCCTGTAACAGACACTGCAAACAAGGCGCGTTGCGGTAGGCGACCGCCGGACATACGCAAAACGTGTCCTAACCAACGGAGCCTACTGAGCTGGATTCGATGAGATAGCGAGTTCTGGTTTTATGTATTCCCAAACACTCGTCAACTCACTTCTAAGTTACTAACCCGCTCACTCCATCCCACTCAGGCCAGACTACGCAAGCATCGATTATCGAACACTGCTAAACAACGGGTGTCTTCTACCAGCAAATTCAAGGTCTCACAACCGTAAAGTAGAACTGGTCTTGCAGTGGCGCAGTATACGCGGCTTTTCAACTTCAGTGAAACGTCACGTCTACGCCAAAGGTGTTTTAGTCCTGCGTGCGCTGCTCGAGCCTTGGAAATGCGGGCTGTTATCTCCTTCAATGCGCTACCGTCGTTGGTCACGCAGTTACCTAAGTACGAGAAGCAGTCAACTTCAGAACTCTTGTAGATAAGCGTATGCTCGTGCGGCCAATGTACTTTGCTTCACAGGCATACGTAAACACATACACAAAATGAGACTGCAGAAGCGGTTGGAATTCGTCTACATAATCCCCCATTGTGTGCCCCCAAACAATTTTTGAAGTCACTCAACCTACCATGACCCTGCACCTCTCGTCCTCCTCCTACTCCTCCCAATCCAAATCCAAATCACACAAGTAATGTGGACTAAGCTTAAGTTCCGATCGTAGGATCAACCATATCCGGTTTTGTGAAATTGGGACAGAAGACCACAACAACAATCCCCATTTGAATAATCATTAGTTTTTTCCTCTTTTCTATACAAAATGTTGTTATATAGAATGTGAATTATTAGCCAGTTGATGAATCACCGAAAATAAGCTTGTTCGCTAAATGTCTATATGTGAAGCCGTTCATGTACTTCTCATTTCCATGTTCTACACAGACAAGCAAGTCATGTTTTTTGTGGTTAGTAACATCGAACCTACATATAAAACATCAAATCATAGTATTGCTTCATAAACGGACTGGTTCTGAGACATTTGTGGCGTCGTCGCGACATCCGGCTGTCTGTGATGGGTCGAGTATATGCTGCAGCAGTTCGACCAGTGCTACTCTACGGTGCAGAGACTAGGCCAATATGGGAACAGGATAGAAATCGATTTTTGGTGTTTGAACACCACCGTCTACGTCGCATTGCACGAATCTGGTGGGGAAGCCGGAAGAGCAATGCTGAGGTTAGGCATGATAGGTAGCTACGCTGTCGTCCGGTTCAATACCACACCTAACCTAGCGAGGCCTTATGTGTTTCGTCACTCCAAGTCCCGGGGCTTGGGTTACCCGTTTCCATCACTGAACAGTAAGTCCTGGTTACTATGGGGCTTTCCCATGTTTGCTGTTCATCACACTTTGGTGTGTAATAAAAAAAAATGCATGGAGTTTTGGGTAACCGCGGTCGTCCATTAGAATAAGTGGTCGAGCTCCATAGATTAGGCTGATTGGGACATCTGCTGCGCATTTAAAAGTTTTTTATTGCACATCTTATTGTGATGAATAACAGACGGGAAAAGCCCTGTGGTCGAGAGGACCTGCTGTTCAGTGATGGAACCCGGTAACTCAAACCCGGGACTTGGAGTGGCGAAGTGCGTAGGTATGGTATGGAACCGGACAACAGTAAATCTGTCTAACACCAAAGTTGGTTGGCGGTGGCGTTGCTCGAGCCTCAAACCATAGGGTCCAAGGAACATGTGTGACAGCAACTAAACCACTACGCCGTCATCAAATAGATTGCCACGGCGCACGATATTTGCCGAGGCAGGTAGCGGATGGAAAGAGGTCAAGAGTGGTCAAACTAAGACCGGGTCTGAGGGCATAAAAACCCTCATCAAGACAATGAACCACATAGGTGCCGTTAGGCTCTTTGGAATGGGACCCCGAGATCATGGTAACTGTCAGATAGAGAGTGAGTGGTTTGGCTGAGTGTCGTAAACAGGGGCGTTCATGCATCTACTCTGTATTTTTGCAAACTCAGTCTACGGGTATTCTCTATCTTCTTTTTGAATTTGCTCTCAAAATTACAATCTTCATTCTGTTCCTTCATTCAAATGCATGTCCAAAAGACCAACCAAAACCGTCGCACGAAAGTGCATGGTTAATGGTTGTAAAAACTGATACTGAACCTGGCGTTGCAAATGAGATATTTGTCTCGAAAATACACTTCCTGGGTACAAGTGTACCAATGAACTGACAAAAGGCTACCTGATACGCATACCTTACGAACGACAAGACCCGCGGAATCGGTCGTATGTTTCCAGGGAAATTTTTTGGAGTCATTCACATGCTACTCATTGCAACGTATATCAAAATATACGATTCGAAATAGAACTGTGCACTTTGAAAGTCTACGAGTATTTTTTGATTCAAAACGGTATTCCTAATGCTGAAAATATGGAGTCCCTAGAATGGATTTCTAGTGGTAAGGAAGACCTTTCGCAGAAATTGTAAAAGCTATCTGAATGAGATTGTGTTGGTCTCGTAGGTTCATGAAAATAGTTACCAATGAACGGCATAATCGTGTTTAGTCGACGTGGATTTCAGTTAAACCTCGTTTTTTGTTTTACTTTGGATAAGATTGCCATACTTGTATCAAAATCAATTAAAAGCCCTGGAAGTTACGGTTAAAATGCTTAGTACCACTCGGGTTGTACTCAAGAGTATACTCAAAATCATTGCGCAATCAAGTTTCCCTTGGGGAGCAATAGAATGATAACAAATGATACCGAAGGTACATTCTACGAGCTACAGAGGATAGTGCGCCGTATCCCCGGATACATGCTTAAATACACTCTGTTAATCTGCTTGGAATTTCCGCTTCGGTTGATCGTCTTGAGTTTTTCTGTGCCCAGCACCTGAACAAGCGTATGTCCGTTCAGTTCTTAAGTGAGGATTCAAAGCATCAAGCTAATGTAAACCTGGTTTGGCCTCGTTGGGTTTCATCCACTGTGGACTGTTGATGATCCTGTAATGCTGAAGCTTAAAATGAGCTGGTTCTAAATCCACAATGTCGAAAATGGTTCAGTAGATAGAGCTAAATTTGCACCCTGGGCGTAATCGGGATAATCCTAATGCCTGTCTGGTGTTACTGTACTCACATTAATCAAAACGATCCATGTGAATGGGCCAATGGTGGACAAATGAACTGTTCTAAACTTGTTTATCAAAAAAGCTGCCGTGATCAATCTAACGGAGGCTTGCAGGCGAATCGAGCATGAAATTCGATGTGAAAATATATTAGAAGGTATATCAAACGCTTCAGCTAGCCGCCTTGTCGTCTACATCGTAACCTACCACACGCGTCGCATCGAATTCTCAAAACAAAAACACCCTTTCAATCATACGAAAGTACACCCGGAAAATTTCAAATCTTGCTTTTTATCCCAGATAAGTGCACTCCGATTTATGCTTCATTGCAACCGGGATACAAAGATATTTCCTAAAGCTTGAACTACCTCAGCCTTGCTGTTTATTTTCAAAAAGCTGGCAAGACAGTTTTTGTACTTGTCGGCCATACCCTTTGTATTGGTGCTTTTCAGTTATTTTTCGGCGATCATAAACGATTTTTTCGTCTGGGCACCGTCCTTCGCAATCCACACCATTGCGACCCCATAAATGAGAGATTCATACGAATATGTTTGCATAATATACATTTCATTGATCGGTGTTTTTCAAAGGAAAACGTTTTCTAACCCGCGTTTCTAGCGTTTCCCCCCGATTCTTAACTATACAGTTGGCTTTTTTGTGGATGTTTATTATTTGATCTGTCCGTTCGCTGTAGTTTAATGTGCCCCCGTATACACTCCTTGCTTGACAGATCGACCTATCTACAGTTTAGACATTCATCCCGACGGTTCTCGATTGGCTACTGGTGGCGTAGTAGATACTTGTGGTGTCGTGATCCTTTGGAATATGGTTCTTATCCGTGACCCTAGTCTGGAAACGGACTCCAATATTCCAAGAAAACTGTTCCAGATGGATAGTCATCAAGGTATGTCTTGTACTCTTAATTTCATTGAGGTTCTTTTCAAAACATGTCATTCTTCCGCTTTATCGGATGAATAAACCTATTGGTCTTTTCTGTTAGTAAAAGCCAATGGTTAGGTTCCATTGAAGGAATCTAAGGGTGGGGATGAAATAGGAATCCTCAATGTGGACATTTCCACAAATATTCAAAATATGCTGGTGGATCAATGCATAGTGGCTTCATATATGTCCCATATGTTGTCCCTAGGAGTACCATAGTGAAAGTGTATTTTTCGGTTTTCTGTAGAGCAAATAATGACTGCCTGCTCTTTTTATAAATGCAGCTAAGGCTGCACCCGAATGCGATGGCGTCATTTACAGGTTTTTGGTACCAAAGCTGCAACCATTCGTCTTAGTTTCCACCTTCTAAGCAACGTGTTACTTGTTTTTCTATCCTGCCTATCGCACGGCTCCACTCCGAGAGGAATCATCATCTTGATTGCGGTTTTCTGGTTCATAGTCCTCTAAAAATGTGCATGGCTATCACTGGGATATAGTCAGACACCGTAATGTTTCTCATATACTTTTCTTTTGATCACATACCCTTCTTTGTCACCATTTCATCTCGATTTTACAGTATGTCAGAATGTCAGTTAATTTGAACGATGTTTAAAACATTCGGCAATCAAGATTAAAGTGCACTGCCTACCAGGCCACCGCAATATGAATCGCCATCTCCGAATCGCCCAACACTTTTTCTAACTAACCTTTTGGTTCTCGTTTTCTGTTCGATGTGAAAGGATGTGTAGGTCATCACAACTGGCCCGGCGCACGTGTTACCGACGGAATAATTCTTGGTATTGCATCGTCTAGAATTGCATGAAATCATGGTGGACAATCTGGATTCAAACGTGTGTGAAATACACTCATACAATGGACAGCAGAACAATATTGCTCTATTCATTTTGCACGAAATGCACTACTGATATGAGTCTGCATATGAAAAAAAACTATTTGAATGGAGAGCAAAACTGAAGCTGTCGATATTGAAATTTACTCTCTCAGTTGTCAGTTGTTATTTCATACTTTTAGTCGGTAGTGATCAGTTGTCGTCAGTTATCGCCACACCATTCATTGAATTTACTGTTCAAACTCCACTACCAACACTTAGCTCTTCTATTGCGTCTCGCAGTTGTTGTTCAGTTTCCGCTACGCGCTCTAAATCCGATTGTGAACTCTGATATTCAATAGCAAAAGGTACACTATATGAGAAGAAAAATTGAGTTATTGTCGAACAGTTCATGGATGTTCTCATATTTTCAAATTGAATTCTCTTTTACCGTGAATGTTATAATGTTAATAACACAGCGCTGTCGGTAGATGTCGATACACTCCTAACATCATTTGGTCCCGATATGTTGAAAATGAATTCTCTTTGTTCGTTTATTGTGTTGAAAGTTGTCTTCTTCCAAGATTAATTGTACCTGAACCCCGTGCATAGCCTTGACTGTACTGTGGTAGTGGGAGATATGCCAGATCAAATAAACTGTTAGGTGTTTCCTAGATCTCTAATGTACCCACAGTGAAGCATTCACGCATCAAAATTGTTAAGTTTTTCAAACACCGTTTTTGCTAACACAAATTTACGTCCATATTCACCGTTGCACGAATGCATCCGTTTCAATGTACTGTTTCAAATTAAATTTAGTGAGGATTCGATTCATGTTTCATGCAATCCAATTTCAAAAAGAACAGGCACCTCTGTGGGATGCGTTCCCATGCACCGCCTATCCGTTTTCGTAACATAGTTCCTATCAGCTATGTTTGAGACAATACCCATCACTGTGTTCCTGCTTTATATATGATTTCGTGCCTGTTGCGTTTACACCGGGAAGCGCAGTTAATATCAGTGAATCAACCCAAATTAGTACAAACCGACATCTTTGAACTAGAGATTCAGGTGCAATAGACCACTGAGGGGTTTTACTCTCAGACACATCGGATCTCTGAACAGACACACTCCGTTCTCTATCCTTACCAAAACCAGTTTTATTGAACATTCATTCCAATGTGATCACGTTTGCCGGACTAAGCTGTTCGCATTTCTTGCACGGGTGCTTATCGTCTTTCTTTCGTTTCGGTCGAATTCAGCATGCGTGAATTGCGTTCGTTGGTCACCTTCCGGACGCTGGTTAGCTTCAGCCGGTATGGATAAAGTTATCATGATATGGACGCGGACGGCGTAAGTTCGCCTTGGTTTCCTTACAAGATTTTGGCATCCCTATGTTGTTGCTGGAGTTTTTCTATTGCCGTGGCCTAACTGCGACGCGCACATATCTAGGGTTTGACAAACCAACTGGGCGACATTTTGTGCACCGGAGATGGAATCTTTTGACCCGGAATTCTACAGCCAGGTAGCACAACAGAGCTGAAAACTCTGTTTTTCAATCCAAACGGATAGGCGTCAAATCATTTAGTGGTAATCTGAAATAAGTTCACTTCTTGTTTCCCTTTATTGAATGCAAGTAATGATACAAACAATTTTCAGTTAAATGGAGGTGGGCTACCATTCATGAATAATGGAGGAGTTTGGCGGTGTTGGTGGTGGGATTCCAATATTCGTCCGTCGTAGCGATAAGTTGGTAACCTTAACCGCTTGGTCCTCACCACTTTGGTTTGAGGTCTAAATTGGAAGCAGGTTTGTCATGGTTTACGGGGTGTTCCAACCAGTTGAAAGTTTCCACAGAACATTGGGCATTTAAGAAGCTCCATTATTTTGCTGAAACACGTTTCTTTTATGCTAGTCCCCGTTCCATATAATATGGTGAATGCATTTCCCCTATATCGCGTGGATGAGATCAGGGATATCGTGTCCACTTTTTGTCTCATGTGATGAATAAAACCGTTAACTGCATTGGTCAAGTGGATGGATCAAATTTACTTCGCCCCATCGGTCTTGCGTCAAAAACACGGCACTATTGTTTGGCTCCAGTATTCATTTGATCATTCCCTTTCGTTTCCTTCGAAGGTTAATTCGTAATTTGTTTTGCAATACGAGTGTTTTTCTACTGAAATATAGGTATAGGTATAGGTTGGTAGGTAGGTAGGTAGGTATAGGTTACCACGGCGAGCGATGTTTCCCGAGACAGGTAGCGGTTGGAAAAAGATCAAGGGCGGTCAAACAAAGACGTGGCATGAGGGTATGAAAACCCTGGTCAGGTAACTAGGTCACAGGCCCCGTTAGGCTCCCTGGCTGGGGACCCCGAGATCATGATCACCGATGGCTAGAGACGCTGAACGGTACGGCTGGGTGTCGCAAACAGTGGCACCCATGCATCTACTCATTATTCTTGTAACTTCAGTCTATATAAATGGGCCATCTTCCGCTTGAATATGCTGTCAACATTCTGCTGTTTTATCCAAATGGGTAACCGAAACCGGCGCACGGAGGTGTATGGTTAATGGTAGTAAGAAATGAAGTGAACTGATTTTCTCTTCAACTCTACTTCCAACCTTCCTGTATTTCTCCTACTGTTAATCCAAATGGGTAGCCAAAGACAGCAACCAAAACCGACGCCCGAAAGTGCATGGTTGATGGTTGTACAAACTAAACTAAAACTATAGTTGCTCACAAAAGTCTTCTTCACAATGCACAATGTAACATAATATATTTCAGGCGTTGGACTCACTTATCCTTGTTATTATTCTTTCGGTGTTTAACGGTGCTTACATTTGCCCGTCATTTGTTATCAGAGCTACCTCACGCCAGACAACCGTTTTTGGTTCAAAAGAACAGACGAAGTTTACAGAACACTGGCGTTGCTCGTCCGTGTTGCGGGGTCACACAGGAGGTAAGTTAATGTGAGCCGTTGGTGTGGTATTTTAGGATGATAGGTTTGTTCATTTGACCAAGCAAGAGTTACTTCAATGACCGATATTTGGCCATTACACATTGAGGTCTAAAATGATTTCGGTCGCGTAGTGTTTGTTTTTACGGACTATTGGAAGTCTTGTTCTGACTTACATAACAGTATTCATATAACTTCACAGTTTTCATAGTTTTCAGTTTTGAAAACTGCTGATACAGCTTTGAAGGATTTTATCCCTGAATACTTAATCATCCGTAAGCTAACAAGTGTTCAATTGTGTCAACTTCATGCTGTAGGTGTTACTGACTTTGCGAAAAAATATGGCTGTGACACCTTTGCATCTTATTCTTATGGTTTTGGGACACCTAGTGTATAATTATTCCGTCTTTCTTCGTCTGCACCAGATATTATCGATTTGGCCTGGTCACAAGACGGACGAAAGTTAGCCTCAGCTAGTGTGGATAACAATGTGATTGTCTGGTGTCGGCAGAGTACGGGAACCGGTGCTCCTGGGCAATTCGCACTGCTTACCACATTACGTGGACATCACGGATTTGTCAAAGGCGTTGCATGGGATCCGATCGGACGGTATTTGGCCACACAAGGTGACGATGTTGCGGTCAATGTTTGGCGCACCTCCGACTGGCAAATTGAAGCGAATATTAAGAAACCGTTTGCAAAGGTTCGTGCTTTTTCGGTTAAATCTCTGTCGCTCTCCTTAGCGTGTGTGTGTGTGTGTGTGTGTGAACGCTGCTATCCTCGTATATTCTTAATATTTGCTGGTCTGTGCTGTTCGACTCAA